ATGTATAACGTAGAAGCGTCGACCGGTTACTTGACACAATGACGTAGTAGATAACTCGTCTCTTTAAATTCTGGACATATACTTTATATATATATATATATATATATATAATGTACTACACTAATGCAAGTATATAATGACATCACACAATGCATTTCAACCCTTCGTCCTACAGGTCCTTTTCCCATTTATTTCTTCCCAACTTTTAAACATTTTCAATTAAAAAAAGAATAATTGAACCAAAGTAAACAATAAGAAAATAAAAATAACATATGTAATTAATAATAATTAAATAATACTTACATGTTAATGTGTAGAAGAGAAAGAAGAAGTTTACAATTCTAAGAGTGTACCGGGATGACAGTAAGGTTATTTATCTTCAAAATCCAATTTCCAAATAACTTTGCAACATAACACTATTTTTATCACTTATAACACTTTTTATCACGAATTGTTATTTAATTGTGCAAAAATATATTAACGTTCTTTATATCCCGTTAATATTCCACACGCATTATCCGTAAAAAGAAACACTCCACGAAATTCGACCAACAACTAAATCTAAAGAGCACAATGCACAATAATTCGCAATCGATTCGCGAAATATTTCGATAATCGAACGCTACTAACCTATCGATAGGATGATATTCGCACTAGATGTTTACGCGGGAGATTCAAATTATAATCACTTTCTTGTCCTAACAAGGAGACGGTGTGATTGTCCCACATAGTCTCCTCTAGTCAAACGATTTTAAATTTCTGTTAAAAAATATAATTATATTAATTTTATGAAAAAATATTTCTTAATAGTAATATAATATTCGTTTTTTTTTTGCAAATATCAGTTTATTACATTTACCTTTTTACAATTCATGATTTTAATTATTTCTTGACACAGCAGCTGCATTCTATTTGCATAATAAAAGTGCTGAAAGAACAATAATACTCTTTCTAAAATATATACAAATAAATTAACAAATTATATCGTTATTTATAATACGATATAATTTATATATGTATAAGTTATCATACATATATTTTCTTTCTTATTTTGAAATCTCCTTTTTCGATTAATACGAACTTAATAATCCGCCAATCACGAATGGATATTTAAAATTATTCTCAGGACTGTATCAATAAAAGACAAGCCCCTTTTATTTTTTCGTTCTAGAATAAATAATTCTATTGTCAGAATAAAATAAATTGAAATAAATTTCAAAATAAATGAAGTTATTAATTTTTTTGTTTATTCTATAACATAAATTTCTTTTCTGCAATAGAAAATGATAAGAGTAATTTTGATTAAGGAAAATTCGACTTTTGAAACGTGAGAGATGTAAGTAATGTAAGTCACGCGACAGTTTGATTCTAACGCCTAGTAACTTCCGTTCTTGCTTGTCAGCTGATCAATCTTATTCCTGTTTGACCGTACTCGAAAATATGTCTGGAAAAGATAAACTTCCAATTTTCCCCTCTCGGGGGTAAGTATATTATTAAAAAGAATCTTATTGTTAATATGAAAAAGTTACCTTTTATTGAAATTAACTTTTCGTTGATGAAACTCGTCAGAATTTTCTTCTTAAATGACACTTCTTCCTGTCACCTGTAAAAATGGGTGTAACCCTATTTCAAAATATTCTACGCTTTACAATGATTAGAAATAAATTCTGAATTTAAACAATTTTCTATTTTGTTATCATCTTTGCAAGTCATTTTACGAGAATGTCAATTTTTTCATATGTATTATGTTACAATTGACAGTCGCTAGATAAACATTTGTTAAAATTGAAATATCTTATTATAGATTTCAACAAAAGAATAATAACAATGTTATTTAATGTATACATTATTGTTAATATTTTAGTGCACAGATGTTGATGAAATCACGTCTGCAAGGTGCACAAAAGGGACATGGATTACTCAAAAAGAAAGCTGACGCTTTGCAAATGCGTTTCAGAATGATTCTAGGAAAAATTATAGAGGTAAAGTGAAATGATAAATGTACAATTATTTATTTTACATTACATTATAGTATATATTCTACAATGTAAGATATTTTGTTTCTTTAGACAAAAACTCTTATGGGAGAAGTAATGAAAGAAGCAGCATTTTCTTTAGCTGAAGCAAAATTTGCCACAGGTGACTTTAATCAAGTCGTCTTACAAAATGTCACCAAAGCACAAATTAAGATACGTTCTAAGAAGGACAATGTTGCTGGTGTTAATCTTCCAGTATTTGAATCATATCAAGATGGTAGTGATACTTATGAATTAGCTGGATTGGCTAGAGGTGGACAGCAATTAGCAAAATTGAAGAAGAATTATCAGAAGGCGGTTAAATTATTAGTAGAATTAGCCTCTTTACAAACAAGTTTTGTAACATTAGATGAAGTTATTAAAATAACTAATCGTCGTGTAAATGCTATCGAACATGTTATCATTCCAAGAATTGAAAGAACTCTCTCATACATTATATCCGAATTAGATGAACTGGAAAGAGAAGAGTTCTATCGCTTAAAAAAGATCCAGGATAAGAAGAAAATAGCCAAAAAGAAGGTATACAAATTTTCAAATGAAATATTAAATAATCATTAGAAATGAAATATAATCTTTGATACGACGTTTGTAATGATATTTTGTTTTAGACTGATGCAGCTAGAGCGTTAATGATAATCAATGGTAACGAAACAGAAGCAGCAAACATGTTAGATGAAGGTGACGAAGATTTGCTATTTTAAACAATGTATATAGTATCATCATATATATTTAATTACTAAGATTAAACCACGAAAATAAGTAGAAAGTTCTGGTTGAAGTAAATCTTTAAAATGTCACTAAGTGCGATTTCATAGTTCGTTCATGGTAAATAAGTTTCTCAATAATTTGAGAAAAGAGATCAATTGAAATCAATTTATTTATTGAATGAAATCTTTAAAAGAAAGATCAAATAATACCACCATTACCTTGTTAATAGACCTGTGCTAATATTTAGAAAAAACTATATTATACAGTAAATCTGTATTTATGATTGATATGAATATTATTCATATTTTTTTGATCATACTATTAAAAAATAACTTGTACAGAATCAATTATATTATTATTATTATTATTATGATTATATATATAATTTGAAAATTTTAGCAAAATCTAATATTGTTATATGTATCTACGCTACGTCAGCTTATACTAGTGTCTGTATTTTTTCAAAATATTCCAACTACTGTTAATTGTTAATAAAATTACTAAGGTATATATATATATATATATATAAACAAAACACAAAAAACAAAATGTAACTGTCCAAACAATTCCAAGACGAGAAGAACGTCTTATTTGATTATATTCTCGTCAAAATGTTGGCAATATTTTATCATTAAATAAAAAAAAAAATATATAAATATATGTGTATATATACGTCTATAGTATTTAGCGGCGCTCTGATATTATTACGTTACAATCTCTTGTAATTGACTATCTTTTAAATTTCATTAATTACAATGAGTAACAAATACAATTTGGTATTCTTATTGCCCATTAATTTACCAATCATCAAGACGAAAATACAACATAGAAATGAATTTACTAAAATAAATCGTTAAACACAAAGCATGCGCGTAGGAAATAATTTTCGATAGGTATAAATTAATATCTTTTAAAGTATATAAAAAAAATAAAGAAAATAGATAAATTTAATACAAAGGAAAAATGAAATATTATTAATTATTCTTTCTGGTACCAATAAGGTGACCTTTTGATAATATAAACTTCATTGATTGACTCTATTGTTTAAAATAATAATTGTAGGAAAGTGAACTTTCTTGAAGTGGGTCAATCAATATATGAACCTATTCTATCTCTCTCTCCTCATACGATAGAACCCTCTTTTAGCAAAGGGAGATGCGCGCGTGAAAATTCATTTCAGTGCGCGTTAAATTTGTCCTCCGCCAAGCCCAAAGATGTCCGATAATTTAAAAATCGTACAAATTCCTGAGGATCGTTACGTCGAAGCTATCGATCATTTGAAATGGAACTTCTTCGCGGATGAACCATTAAATCAGGCTGTTGGATTATGCGAAAAGGGTAAATCTCATTACGAACTTGAAAGACATTGTCTGTTGACTTTAAATCAGGGATACTCAAGGATGCTAGTGACCGAAACTGGAACTGTAAGTTTGTTCTCTATGACTGACTACATTCAAAGCTAATCTTTCTATTTCGTTATAACTGTTCGAATTCGAACGACTATATTTTTCGCGGTTTTTTTAAATTAACATTTATCCAATTTTACATAAGATTTTTCTTCAATTAATTACGTAGGAGATTATTGAGATTAACTATCTGAAAATCATAAAGACAAACTTTTCTTTCGCATTAGATAGCAGGTATGACTCTAAATGGTGTTTTAAATGAAGAGGAAAGAGACGAAGCTAGTCGACGACTTGAAGAAATAAACGACAAACAATTTAAAACAATTTTCGGTCAACTGTACAAAGTCAACAAAAAAGTTGATCTATTTAAAAAATACAATGTCCAGGAATTATTCGAATGTCGCATTTTAAGCGTAGATGAGAATTTTCGCGGGAAAGGCTTGGCAAATATTTTAATGTCCGATAGTCTTGAAGTAGCAAGGAAAGCTGGTTTCAAGGTAACGATAACAATATCACGGAAATGTTTTTTTCTAAAATATAAAAAAACAATATTTAATTAATGTCGAGTGTGCTAGATTTTTAAATGTATTGTATGTGTGTGTGTGTTTGTTTGTGTAAATGCATGTACTCGCGAATGACTTGATGTCGTTAAATTTTATCCGTATATCAAAGTTATTATTATTATTATCATTATTAATATGATTTCAAATTATATATTTATATGTGGTGTAAATAAGCAAAAAAATATCGTTCATTTATACACATGTATGTAAGTCATGTGCATTGTCAATACGATATCCTTGATCTTAAGTATACATTATCTTTTTGTTTCAGCATGTACTTCACTTAATAATATGCATGGGATGATTTTCATTTACAATGGTGTCAATTACAAAATGCACTCATTCTTGTATTTTTCTGAAAGGTATTCTTGTAAATGGTTGCGTGTATAATTATCATTTAGGGAATGCAAATTTCTTACCAATCAAGTTATTCCCTATTCGTGTTTGCAGGTGTTCAAAGCTGATGCTACTGGTATGTATTCTCAAAAGGTTTGTTTAAAGCACGGCTTTCAAGTCGAAGCAGAGATTCCTTACACAGATCTTCCAGAAAATATAAGACCTGCACCACCTCATCAAGCTGTTAAACTTATGGTAAAACTATTGCGTTAGAAAGGTATATATAAATATAAATAATCCTATGTGATATAATTAAACGATTCATCAATACATTGACGAAGTTATACAGCATAAAAAGTAGATAAAAAAGAAAGTATATGTATCGTTGTGACAATAACAGCTCTATAATATATTTGTTGGTGATATTAAAAGATGCTTTTATGTCTATGCAATAATAATGATTAGGTGTTGAAGAATTGGACCACATATTTGCTTAGAACGTATAAATCAATAATCCGAATTATTCGGCTACTGCCCCTGGTTTATATGTTCTAAGCAAAGTCATTCAAATTTATGAACTCGACGATAACAACCACCATTGACGAGCATTTTTACATTCCGTTGATTCAAAAACAACGTTAAAACAATTATTATTCATTCTAATTCTGCTTGACAAAGGGGTGCATATAAAATGTCTATTTAGATAAATAACAAAAATCTATATAAAAATCTGTTAAATATTATGAGATTATATAATAACGATGATAATCAGAAAAGACAATAGTCTAATAGAAAGTCATAATATATAAGCATGTATTAAGAAATTATTCATTATTTTCTGATTGCAATATACGAAAATGAAAAAGACACTGTAAGACGTCTTCGTAAAGAGTTTAACGTTTCGATAAAGAGACTTCCTTTTTTGTTGCAATCATTGATGAAGCACGAGACACAGAACTTTTACATGATCTATACAGTTATCTTTCGGACAAGACAAAGAATTTAATATACAGCGAGGTATATATACGTAAGAATACGAATTACAAGATGACGGGTCCATTTGCAAATAATTATACAAATTATGAGAAATAGTATTTTTGTCGGTGTCACGTGTTATGAGAAATATATATGCGTTATTTTGTAAAAAAAAGTCCGCCAAATAAAATTTCTAATAATTTATATTGCATGATGTATCTTCTCTTTGGAATAAACTTTCCATCATTTTGTTCAACTTAATCAACTCATTCAATTAAGCGAAAAAATACTATTAATAGTATTTAATTTAATTTAAGTAACAATTATATAATTTTACAAAAGATTTATCGATAAAGCATATAGCTATATATATTTAATAGTAGATATTTCATTTACATAGTCATACATCTTCTCATTATTGACTAATTTTATTTGAAAATTGTAAGTTGCATTTAATAATTAACTTGCTGTCTAAAATGGTGTTGTAACTTATTAGCTTTCAAATTTAATTTTAAATTGTATTTAGCTTGTATTCTTTGCATAAATTTAATGTCTCTAGCTTTCTTAACAGCTATTTCTTTCTTTGTATCAGTCCATCCCAAAGCTCTATATTGCGATATTATATTACGTAATTTATTATTCTTAGATACGGCATTTGGTCTATTAGGATTTAAACTTTGTTTGTAATATCTCATTAAAGATCGATGACCAATAACATTACCAGATGGTAAAACTAATTGATAATCGCTATCATCTAATTCAGGTATTTCAACCTCTGCGTCTGGATCTGCTGTCTCTACATCGGGATAACTCGAAGAATAATCGTAGAATTGTGCATATTCTGCAAGTGCATCACCTTCATGCAACATTTTACAATGACCTTTATCGATCATATGTGCCTGAACTGATTCGACGCTTTGAAATGCTCTTCCTGTTTATAAAAACAATGTTTATTTTATTATTTATAATCAAATCAAATAGCTTTAATAATTATCAGGATAAATAGACAAACTTACCAGAATCATTACACCAAATGCACATATAATTAGCGCATATTTTTTCTCCTAAATATATTAGTAAACCTTTGATATCAACACAATAATCTGTATCGGGTATAAAAAAGGAATGTGCCACCGTCATATGTTTCAAATTGTTAACTAAAGATCGACTGTGGTTCTTACAAAACAAACAATTGTTATTTATGATAGGATTTTCAGTATCTTCGATCCATTCATCAGAATCAACAGATTCAACGTCTGAATCAGCATCCATGTCGTCTATAGTTTTTTCACCATTACTTGCTGTATCAACTGTTTTCACAGTTGTAGAATGCGAAATAGTAGATATTACAGAAGACGACAAAGCTGAATCGTCAATTGTACTCTCATCTTCCGAAACAGAGCCAATCGTATCCGATTTGATTAGGTTCTCTTTATGTTTTTTAGATGACATATGATTAGTGTATTGATTTTTGGTGTTAAATGTTTTACCGCATACTTCGCAATACATATATTCATTCAATGATTTATCTTGATTAAGTTGAGCGATAACTCTTTTCTGGAAATCTTCGACTGGAACTGGAGGCAGCTCAGCTACTTTTCTTTTTAAATTGTATCGATGCCAGTCCGATTTATAATGTTGCCTTTGGATCTCCAAATCTCTAAATGCCACACGGCAAGTTATGCATGTGAATGATGCATTCATCATTTCCAATTGTCTACATTCACAAAACATACGAAATACAATTTAAGATATAAAATATAAACTTAAATGGAACTATACCAACATTTTTCTAATACCAAGTTATACAAATAAAAAAAGAAGCATTAAATACCAATATTAATTTCTGCATACCATTAATAATACCAAACTTCTTGTTTGTGTGCAATATTTCAAGATAAGATACGATATTTCGTAATTACATGAAAATGTGCAATGCAATTACTATCATCACATGCATAGTATCGCCTATCAATTAGCATTGAACTTTGGTAGAATAAAACGCAAATCTCTATTTCATTTGTTAACCTTAATTATATATTTATAATTTACATATTAATAATATTAAAAAAAGAAATTACTTACAATTTTTTTAACCTTACTTTGATAAACGTCGATTAAAAAATACACTAAATACCACTGACGAATAAACACGCAGTATGTTGCAGTATATGCCAGCAGTGATTCCAGAGACTTTAGTTCGTCTGATTGACACAGGGGCGTAAAATTATCGTACGAATTATTCCCTAGTACGAATGGGATCACTGTATATGACTAATCAAAGCCAATTAAAATTCAAGCATAACGATAAGCTTTATAGTAAATTTGGCTAGGTAGTTTTATTTCGTTACCGGCATATTGGTATACAATCATTTTTGCTAATAAATATTTGATTTCTTTCTTTTTATAAAAAAAGAAGATATTTTTCATATCTTATATAAATAATATCTAATGTTTTTAATATTAAACAATTAGGAAATGTGAAATATATCTATTATTTATTCTTAATTTAAAAATTTCTCCCAAAGTATAGAAACAAATATTTAAATCTGATTGGTCGACGAAATCGCAGGAAATATATTTGTAAATAATCAATAAATTCAATTGAAAAGCAGGCCTTTCAATCAAAATTAATTAATTAATTAATTATAATGATAGTTCGTAAATTTTAAATATATTAATTATAATAATATAAATAAAAAATTTCTATGTGTGTGAAAAGAACTAGACAATATGTATATTTATTTGAAGATTTTTTTATTAGGTTGGTAAGCGTGGTCAACCATATTGGATTCGAAATGATTGTCAGTATGTTGTTAGCGCGCTTTAAAAATGGTTGATCCGGCATATAGTGAAATGTCTACAGCAGATTCTTCAAGAATTACTGGAGATAGTGGTTTCAGTGAATTATTAAGATCTGCGGAACAATTATCAGCTGCTGTAGAAGGTAGTGAAGAACTTCCACAAGTTGAAAGAAATTTACGTCAAATATTAGAAGCCTCTAACGAACTATGGTCACGTGTCGCACAAACTGCAACTCAAGACAATCAGGTGCAAGCGTAAGTTTTTATAATATATTTATGAATAATAATTGCAATAATATATAATAATAATAATAATAATATCCTAAATATTTTCTTTTTCAGTCACCTATTGTTAGGTTCTCGGGGGGTTGATCTACCAATAATATCACAAAAGTTAAGCTCACTCAGTGCAAGGTGTACATTTGAACCATTAGATCCTATCGCTGATACTGACATCGTTAGCTATCTGAGAAATGAAAAAGAAAATGCAATTCTTTCTATCATCGAAGAAGTTCATAAAGATGTAAATGTTATTTGTTGTTTATAGTTCAAATATTTTTCTATTTTTAATAGGTATTGTGTGTGTGTGTGTGTGTGTATATATATATATATATATTAATGTTAAACTTATTTCGTGTTTTAGACATTTGAACTTACAAGAGTTCAACAAATGGAACATATATTGGGTGAATGGAAACAAATGCGTTTTGAAATAATAAATGCAATGACAGCTCCATCAGGAGAGTTGGTAGATTTAAGGGGAACTCCACAACGTACTAAATTGGCTGGATCAATGGTTAGTGGTCTTTCTAACGTGGAAGTTGCTTATACCAAAGAATTACAAAATTACAATGAACATGTACTACGTGGTTCAATAAGACCTAATTTGTTTAATACATTCTGTAAAGCAAGCGAATCGTTTAACGATAAGAAGGTTACCGATTTGTGGCAAATGGTTAAGTTTATGGTAGATATTCCACCAACACCAAGAGGAGATCAAATTAAATCAAGAACTAGTCCTGCTATTGAACAGAAGATTGTATCATTAGCAAGAACTTATCTTGAAAATCGATACAGAGAATTTATGAATTCTATAATCAATGAAAATTTGGTTCAAGCTAAAAGGGGAGGTATTCCAGGCACTTTACCTTTGGTAAGAAGTTTTGTTGGCATTAAAATACAAAATTTAAGAGATCTAGAAGATGTAGTGGATGGTAAACCATTGTGGCCCTTAGTTTATTTCTGTATGAGATGTGGAGATTTCAAAGCTGCATTGCAATGTTTGTCACAATACAGTACACATTATTCAGAATTTACAGCTGCTTTGAAAGAAGCGAGCGAAGATCCACAACGCTATCCTGGTAATCGTGCCGAGTCAGTATTAAGATTACATTATAAAAAGCATGTCAAATCTTCGACTGATGCTTTCAAAAGAGCGGCGCATAGTGCATTGGTTCCATGCGAACCAGATGACTTGCATTCCGAAGTAATAGCAACAGCAGATGATTATTTGTGGCTAAAATTGTGCCAAGTTAGAGATCAACCAGAAGTAGAAAATAAATTAACTTTGGATTATCTCCAAACGACAATCTCCGAAATATATGGTACGTTATTAAAACGTAATTATTATAAATACATATTTATGAATGCAATTACATCATTTTATTTCTTATGTATTGTAGGTGAATCTTATTATCATGCACATGAACAACCATTCTTATATTTCTCCATGCTTTTCCTGACTGGTCAGTTTGAAGCAGCTATTGAATTTTTGGCAAGAGGTGCTGGTGCTCGTCATTTAGCTCATGCTGTCCATCTGGCAGCTGCTATGAATGAACATAATTTGTTATCTGTTAGTCAAAGTGTTCTAGCTCCGCTTGTAAGCGTTGACCCTTCTGACAAGCCACCTGCTAAAAGATTAAATTTTGCAAGATTGATATTGTTGTATGTTAAGCGATTCGAATCCTCAGATCCTAAAGAAAGTCTACACTATCTCTTTTTATTAAGGTAAAATACGCGAATACTTCGCGCGAAAAATAAATTCTATTTTAAAATTAAAATCTTTTACATAATGTGAACATTTTAATATAATTTTAGATGCATGAAAGATCCCTATGAAAGAAATATGTTTGCTGCGTCAGCTGCAGGAATTGTTGTAGATGCTTCACCTGAAAATCGAGGTGTTCTTGTTGGAAAAATAGAAAAGGATAGAAGATTGCCAGGAATTCTAGATCAGTTCCAAGTTAATACAGACGACGTTATAAATATATGTGCAGAAACATTGTATAGAAAAGGACTTTTGGAAGATGCTATTACGATGTACGATATTGCTGGTACTCATGAGAAAGTTTTCAGTTTAATGTGTACACTTTTGGCACAAGTCGTAAGCGAAAGAGGAACACCTGGATCATTAAGAACTCGATTGCAAGCTACTGCAAACGATATTGCCTCAAGGTAAAATTTGATTTAATAATTAATTTATTTATAAATGATTACATGAATATACAATTTTATAGGTATCAAGGTATTGCAATACAAGCACCAGCTGAATTGGTTGCTTCTTTTTATACTTTGCGAAATCTTATGGTATTTTTTGATCAATATCACAACGATCAATATCAGAGCGCACTTAGAGTAAGTGAAAACAAAAATATAAATCATTTTTAATTAAAAAAGTACATTTCATTTTTTTTTACAACTTAAAAATTACATTTCAGACTATCGCTGAATCAGAAATATTGCCGTTGCACGTTAGAGATGTGGATGAAAGGGTAACAGCATTACGTCGAGTGTCACCAGAAGTAGCTGGGACACTAACAGATGTTCTTTTAGCTACTATGACGATACTTTATCGCCAATATCAAAAATTACGATCTATGGAACCGGGTGATGAAATAGCAAGAGAACAACAATTCCGTGATCTTCGACATCAAGCAAGAGCATTAACGAGTTTTGCAGGAACACTACCGTACCGTATGCCAAACGAAACAAATAGCAAACTCGTACAAATGGAAATTCTTATGCACTAAATGAATTGTTGATAAAGATATCGTTAATTAAAATATTTCATAGTATTTTCATTTTTTTTTTTTTTTTTATATCGAAGAAGAATAATGAAAATGCTGCGCTATTATTTTCACTTTTCTAATTAAAAAATATTTCAATGAAGATATGACAAAAGTAAAAGCAGTGAAACACGTACCAATTATTTTCTTACGTATTTGTAAAGTTTTACACTGTAATAAATGTGACTTTTGATAAATGCTTTTATGATTTTACAAAGATAATCATTGCAGCTATGAAAAAACAATGATTTTAATCTGACAAAATGAAAATTATTGATATTTGACGGATGTTACAGATATTCCTGAACTAAGATCTGGAACTGTTCCTTCTTTTACCTAAAAATATTTACATAAATAAATATATATATATATATACATATATTTGTTAAAAATAATAAATACGCTTCGAGTAACTTACAGCTCGATAATCAAGGACCATTTCTTTAAATGATTGAAAATCTGTAATTGTAGATAATATATCAAAAACTTCGCCGTCTAAATCTGCTTTGTTCTCTCTTAACAAAAATGGTATATTAAATTTATAATTGTTTTTAAAAATATAGTAGATAAAGTTAATAATATATTTACCTCAAATCACGAAGAAAAATATCCATATTAAAATGAGGTATAATTTGTTTAAGATGATTTACAATATGAGTTTCTATAATTGCATTCTGAGAAGAAGAAGAAGAAGAAATTTACATTTTTAAAACGTACAATAATTAGATGACCAATTAGTCTGAGATATATACAAAACTTACATATTCATTAAATATTTCTGTATAAATTAATTTATTTTCTTCAGCTGGTTCAAAAGTGGTCCAATATTTTTCCAAAAATTTATTTTGCAAGTCATAAAAGCCATAATCTATAAAAATATATATTATACTGAATATAATATGTAATAGATAATTTTCATTTTTATAATATTAAACATACCTAATAATAAATCTTCTATGTGACCAATAATTACATCAAATAATTCAATCTTTGTAGTTTGTTCAGAATATTGTTCTGGACTTATTTCTAAACAATCATCTAAATAAAAAACATATTTTGAAAAATATTAACAAAATAATTAAATGTATAGATAAATTTTGGATAAATATTGAGAAAAATGAAAGATTTAATATTTTATTTCATCTTTCATTTGAATCACAAACACAAATTGTTATAAAACTACTTAATAAATACGAACCAATCATTTCGTTTTCCATACTTGTTCCTTAACGTCTCGTTGGCTCTGCTATATATAGGGATAACTAATATTTATAATTATTATGATTAGACTTGAAAATTAAGAAATGTTTTGAAAAGTATTACATTAGAGAGAATTGAACAAAATGAAAATGAAAGTTTTACGAATACTAAAGTAAAAAGAATTAATTTGTATCTTAAACTGAAGTTTCCATTTTCAAGTGTTTTACCAAAAGAAAGTGCTGAATCCACTAGAGACGATTATATTGAAAAAATAAATTAAAACGTAAAGAATTAATATATTAAATACAAATACAATTAATATTATATTTTTTCATCTAAATACATTACGCGTAACTGTATTTAATAGTAACCTGTAAATAATAAGAATGTTGATATTCTCATCTTCCCATAGCAACGATGAACAACAGATCATCTGATTGGTCGTCTAATGAAAATGGCTGCAATGTAATTTTTGAAACTTGCTCGTCCTTGTCTAAGATATCAGTTTAAGCCGTAAGAACTTCAAATATTTATGTTAAAAATAATTCCATTTAACAAATAATATAAATAATATTAAATAATGATAAAGGATCGTAATATGTTATAATAATAATAATAATAATCAACGGAAAAGGTGGGATAATGTTGTATAAAAATTTGGGTTCCGGTAACGACGACTGTTCATCGTTGCTTATTTAATGACCCTTCTTCATATAATTCTCTTACCACAATCTTTATATTCAATTTAATAATATAATATTTAGTTTTATATTCAGTGTAAGATAATAGTGCATTTGAATATCATTAATACGATAGTAAGTAGTGAAATGTTTTAATTATTTATAAATATTTATTAATTGTGTGTGTGTGTGTGTTTTTTTTTTGTTTTTTTTTTCAGAAACAATAAAATGGAAATTTACACATTTGATAAATGTCTTCAAGAAAGATTGATAGAATTCAGTGAGATATTATCAAGCCGTGGTGAGACAGTATCAGCATCACAAGTTAAATTAGAATGGTTGAATTACGTTGAACTTGTAATAGAACCAACTGGGTGGCAAGCGTTATGGAAAATTCCTCGTTTGACTTGTCAAGAGTTTAAAATTCATTATCCCACCATTGTCGTTGTCCAAACAGAACAAGTTGATTTTAATGATCTTTCAGCATTAGTTAAAATAATAGCTGTACAAGATGAAATACATTTGCCTGCAAAATATGATGTTCCTTTGATAGAATTATATCCAACGAAAAGTCAACCAAATAATACTTTGGATATGATCGGTACTTCCTGTTGTATCGATCAATTGAGATTCTTTTATAATTATTTATGGATGCCATGGGACATTGATGATGATGAGAATTCAGATTGGGTGACTTTGCATTTAGAATCTAGAATTAGATTATTCTTCGATATGAAAAGGGGTTGTGTCAATAAGGATACTTGTGATGTTATTAGAACATTGACAAGAGAAGGTAGAGAAATTCAACATAGAATTTCTAAATTAGAAGAAGCAATGTCTGATGAGGATGAAAGTGAAAATTGTTTATTGGACGATGGGAAAGCTTGTCAGTTGATGAATCTTCATTTTAGATTGCAACAGATTAAAACAGAAATGGAGGTACTTGAAAACCCTGCAATCAGAGATATCATATCGAGGAATCAAAAATCAGTTATGGTAGAAGAACAAACAAAAAAGTCTGAGGATAAGGACAGGAAAAAGGAAGCTCATTTTGTATGGCTTGGTAGTACTTTAACCGAATTAAAAAATGCATTAAGTCAAATTGAAACAATCTTTTCGTCAGATCTGTTCTTTAAGTAAGAAAACATCAATTATCATAGATACAAATGAAAGATTATGTTACTAATGTTGCGATACGCTTTTTGTCATAGGATCTATGGATGTCTACAGGAAGCTTTACTTGCTGCCGAAAAAAATGATATTGTTGTTGTTGGAGAGGGATTACATCAAATTAGAGGGTCCGGTAGTTTGGAAGAAGGTGGTACTATTAAGGGAATTGGCAAGTCAGAAAATATAATTCTTTCTGCAAATGACATAGAAAGTTTACCATCCTTGTTAGACTTTTCTGGCCAAGAAGTTAGATATATTATTTGAAATATATTTCAACAAGTATTCACACACACGTTTGCTCTAATAGATTATAATATTTTCTCTTACAGGTTCTACTAGAAAATATATCTATTAATCTTGGTGAACTTCAGGCTGGTATTATCGTTAGAAAACAATGTGTACGAATGGTTGGTTGCAAAATATATGCTTCGAATCAAAGTATAATTAAATTAGGCGTAGTCGTTTTACCAGGTGCAAAATTAATTATGGAAAAAACAGTTTTTGATGGATTAGGAACCGCTGTTGTTATTTATGGAAAAGGTGAAGTCAACATGAGCGAATGCAGTTTCCAAAATTGTTCTGAGGGTATTCAGGTAAAATAATATAATTAAATAATTCGCATAATATTATCAATTTTTCTTTGTAACCAATATGAAATATATTTTTTAGTTACACGATGATGCTACTTTAATGGCAACTAAATGTCAACTTGAATGTTTCAAAGAGTATGCTATCCGTATGGAAACACAGAAATATTTAAGTAATCTTGAAAGCAAAGTTGGTAGCATTGAATTATTAGAAAATGTCAAAGAAATTTCATTAGAGGAATGTACATTCCAAAATAATCTTAAAGCAGACATTCTTTTAAAATCAAGACTTTCAACCGCTTTTGTTTCAAGAGAAGGCTTTCATAATATTGTTTCTTCTTAATTTAGAAAATTTTTATTTGGGTTTGTAATTCTATTTTAATTAATATCAATTTTACAATTGTAATGTTATAACCTATATATGCCCGTTGTTTATATAATATATTATATTTTTCTAAGTCTATATTATACTGCTACGAGTATATTAACTTATGTGAATTAAAGGAAAAAGACATATTTTTGTATTGTACATATACATGTACATAATATTATAAGCTTACTTTTTAGGAGATATAACGAATTAAAACTAATTTCATAGTTAAGAGTGTTAGTGGGAAAATTATCATTCAAATTTTGGCGCCATTAATTTCGTCTTTTTAGTATCAAGTAGAAAAAACAGATGGCATTTGTTTTATCGTTATTACATGCGATGACTACAACGAGTAGTAGTCATTAGTTCCGTGAGATGGCGCTACTAATCTCATTCCATAAAAAGTTTTTATAATGTCGGTATCGTCTTACTACTGGAAAGTTAATCGAAATGTGTCGAGATATTTAAATCCGTGTTTTTTGATAGTGAGAAGTGTTAACAAGTGGACAAAATTCCGAAATATTTTTAATCCAGTTGTTAAGCCTTTTTCGGTATGTAAATGATAAGGTACCATCTTCCTATTTTTAGTCTAATTATTTTCAAAAAGATTGCAAGCATGCTACATATTGTAAACGAAATAATATGTGAGAAAAAATTAATAAAATTTATATTTTAGAGAAATTTTAAAGGAAAAAATAAATCTTATTCACTTGTTGTTATAAAACAATAGAAAATCTAATCAAATTCTATATGACAGACCGGTGTTGTTAAACATAACCTCATATTTAAAGATTTCAAATAAACGTGATAGAAATGCATGAAAAAATTCAACATTGCATTTGTTTAACATAACAGACAGAAAATATAACGAATATAAAAAGAATAAGAAGATATACATTTATCAAATATACAAAACAATGTAATTAATTCGATTCGTTTTATTATTGTCTATTGTCCATAATGACAGCAAATGAAAACTTCAAACGAAAGGCGGGAATTTTAAAAGTTGAATAGGTGCGCGAAATTCGAAAGCAATGGAGTAATAAACATAAGTAATTGGAAGTATTTTTTTCTTTTCAGAAATCGAAACGATTAATTAAAAGTGAAGACAATTGTTCAAAGTTCTTATTGTGGAACTGGTTAGGTTTGTGGCGACGTAAGGAAGGAAATAATATGGCTCCAGTTGATAAATTACCGAAGATGGTGGAAACGAACGTGCCGAGACAGGCGACTGACGGACAAACTCAATTTGGCAACGCTCGCCAATTGGAACCCTCGGAATGCATTTTCGTCTTCAAGGACACGCTTTCTGACTACGAGGAACCACCGTCCGACGAGGAGGTGAGCCTAAATTGTGTTTTTCTTTTTATTTTGTTCAATCTTCTATTCAAACTATACAATTGCTGTTTGCTGGTTTGGATGATGAAAATTTACTTGGAACAATATTGAAAATGTTAGAAAGATATATTATTTCGTTATTTATATAAGAACAGAATTATGATGAATTATTACACACAGGTGATATGTATAATTGAACAATGAAAATTATTATACAACACATGCACATAATATCAATAAAACATATGCATATGTGTTTTATAATAACTTATAAAATACAAATGTATATGTGTGTGCATTGACCTAATTTTCAAAGTAAGATAAAATTGAAATAGAAAGTAATGGTTTTTTTTTTTTTTTTCAATTTTTAGAGACTATAGTTGTGATCAGGATTATAAAACAGGACAGAAATATTTGATTTATTCTTCTTTTGAAGGAATCTCTATTGTTGTATCATTTAATTTAATAATATCGCAATATCACATTAGGACTATCCAGTAATATTTAATAGAGTGGGATGAGGTGTCCAGTTTTTCCTTTTTTGACGCATACTTCTTACCCTCTTGAAGAACGTTAAGTTAAAATGGCACTTGCATCGAGACACAATGTGCACCGTCGCGGCGACGTTTCTGAAAATATCCCATCCGTGGTCCGCGACGTTGTCCTCAAGAGAAATAGAGAAACTCTCTTTATATTTCTCTTTCTCTTTCTTTCTCTTTATATTTCTCTTTCTCTTTCTCTTTCTCTTTCTCTTTCTCTTTCTCTTTCTCTGTGTCTTTTATATAGGCTGTTTCAAAAAACATAGTTTAAAAATTGTTAGAAATAATCGAGTTTGGCCCAAGGCAAACATTTTTTGTTGTCAGCCAACATCCGGACAAATTTTCTTATCCCAATATTATCTAATACAAAAAAATGGTTTGACTGATAAAGAAAACATTCACATTTATTTGGATACCTAAAAGAAAAAACACGTATTAAATTTCATAAAATTAGAGTAGTCAAACTCAATGATTGTATTGCAGTTAGGAACAAATTATTAGATTATTTATTGTTCAAAATTACAAACAAAATGTAGTATGTTAAATTATTGTGTACACGGTACTATTATAGTGTTTTACAAATAATCATTCATGGTGGTTCATATTTAATTTTTCTTCTTAGACGTATGGA